TCCCCCACATGCACTAACAGTCCACTTACAAGGTACAACAGCAGGCGAACCATGAGGTTCACATAGGTGCCAGGCTCTGTCCTGTCTCGGGGGCAGGACAGGGCATTGGTTAAGGTGTGCCTGACTCCCTGACCACAGCCTTGCTCTGTCACATCCCAGCTGAGAGTCCTAGGGCAACTTCTTAACTTCTCTGTGCCTCAGATTCCACCTTCACAACACGGGGTTCTCAGAGGTTGTTGCCAGGATTACATGAACCTTGCCTGGTGCATGCTAAGTATTCAGCCACTGTCTGCTAACTCTATTACATATGTTTAGGCTTCTCCCTTTCAGAAGCAGTATTTTTAAAATTGCAGGTCACAATCCATAAATGCATTATGAGACAAATTTAGAAAAATAAAATTATCATTTTTCCGAAAGTGAAGAATAAAACATTGTATTTAAACATTAATGACGTTACATTTCAGATTACTTTTATTTTTCCTTAGCAGACATAGTAAGATTAAGTGGTGCCCTATGATTCTCTGTTTCTATGTATCCATGTGTCAGACAGCAATCTATATATCCATATGTATCAGGCAGCAATCAACAGGGTATTTCTGTCTGTGTAACCACCAACATCTCTCAAAAGACGATTTTATAAAATGCGGGTGGTAGGGAAACAGGGAAGACTAAAAGGTGTCATAAATCAGGAACCATTTTATAAAAAGCAGACACTGGAAGCAAAGGGAAAGACCTCCTAAGTTGACAGGACAACACAGCAAGTACCCGAGGTACACAAGTCTGTTTATGGCTAGGATGCTACTGGCATTGCAATCATCTGAGCTTAGCAACATGTTTTTATTTCCAAAGCAAATCGAATTGCAAAACTGGAAGTACAGATGTTATCTTGATGCTGGGTAAACTTGGAAATATTCACATGACTTATCCAGTAAGTCATCTTGTAGTACTTGTTAAAGTAGATACTATGCCAGATTTCAAATGCTCTTAAAAACCACCAGGGTTGGGAAGAGATATGAAAATGTCTTTAAACAGAGATACTTAAATGTGGATGTACATTTAGTCTAACAGTTACATTATAACCAAATTCCTAGCTGAAAATTTACCTGTATAAGCCTTCCCATGAGAAGATGAAATGGAAAAGAACTATAAGCACATAACTAATCATTTCAGAATCCAGTAAAAGCACTTATCTATGTACTCAAAAGACTGTTTGACATGGTATTTTACAATGCTGCCTCTAGACTGGGTAAGAGGGGATCACATCCCCGGGCCCCACTCCTGCCATCACCTGTCTTCCTGAAGATTTCCTGGGACCAAGTGGACCTACCTATCCAGAACCAGTGTCCCTCTACCTGGTTTTAGTCTGTGATCCAGGTCCCTGGAATTCCCTCCCCAAATCCCAAGTACCTTCTAGGACATGAACAAGCTCCTCCCAGATCTGTCCTACCCAAAGGGGACATCACCACTGATGTGTGCCAGAGGCATCTAGGTCAAGGAGTGGCAGGTACATACCAAGACTAGGAGTGCAGGTGGACACAGTGCCCTTCACCAGGTGGGACTGTACCAAGGGTGGGAAGCAAAAGGGAAGAAACCTGGGCCAGGGCAGATTCTCCCAAATGCATTTCAGCTCACGACTCTGGGAAGCTACAATTTGAATTCAAAATTCAAACCCAGCCTTCCAAGTCAGTATGAAGCTGTAGCTGTCAAGGTCAGTGGGTAGAAGAAACTTTGTATAAATGTTGTTAATTCATAAGTTTTAAACATTTAGACAGAAGCCCTGTAGACCTTCATTTGTTCTCTTGCACGGTACAGGCAGGCCTGGTGGTTACACAGTGGACTCAGATTTCAGGCTGGGTTCATCCCCAACCCCAACCCACCTACCAGCTACATGAGCTTAAAGAAGCCTCTTAATCTTCTCTGAGTCTTCATTTCTTCATGTACATTTAAACAAGGATAAAGAAAACGTCTTCTTTACCGGGTTGTGAAGACTAAATGAATTAGCCCAAAGTACCTAGAACAGCAGCTAGTCACCTAACAGGCAGGTAATAAACTCCCCTATGACATTATTCTCATACAAAACTGATTAGTCACTGCACACTTCCAGATAAAACCACAGACAGAAAGTGGTTCTGTGTATTTCTTCTTTCCTCTTCCTCTTTCCTTTTAAATATATTGCTGTATGCCGCTCCAAAAGATTATTTTCTATTTTGAAAAGGTCAAGTCACCTGACTGCTGACCTGCCTGGGTCAAGTTCTTCTGAAATTAAAGACATGTTCATATTCTATACCAACTCAGCAGATAACTCAAGCTTTTGGCAGGTTTGAAGTTTGAAACCTGGGAAATTGGACCTGTCAGTTTCATTTGCCAAACATTTGAAAGAATTATCACTTTTAAGTGTAAAAAGGACATTTCCTAATCTTCATATGCATGAGGTTCAGAGCTGTAAGCCAGGGTATGTCCTTCTTGATTCATAAACCAGAGGCTGAAATGCTTGAAGCTATCAACAAAGAAAGGTTACTCAACAGAGAACTCAATGCCAAAAATAGAGCCCTATCAGCAGAGAAATAGATGCAAAGAGACAAGCCTTTATTTGGCTACTTATTTGCCCACATTTCTTTATTATTAAATGGAGCCAGCATAGTGATTACAATTTGCCAACAACCTTCTCATGATTTATATTCCTTCAGCCTACAATGACTGAACAAACAACTTGAAGAGAAATGTTTGCCACATGTAATGACATGCAGGCAGCATAGAGAGCATCTTGTATTATTTCACCATAAAAACCTCTCTTTCAAATGTCTAGCTGTTTGCTATGGGTTGAAGATTTAAAAGCCAAGAAGGAAAGTACAATACAAGGAAAGATTCAAGGTCATGTTTACCCTTTAAAATATATACCTAACCTACATGTTCAACATGGGGGACAATCAAACCTCCATCTTTTCTAATTATTCTTAAGAATTTTTAAAATATATTATTTATCAGCCTACTCAGTGCATAGAGCTCTTTCCAGTTTCCCAAGCTACGTCTAATTAGTCTACCACAAAAAGAACCATGCTGGAGTATTGTTAATTTCAACAATACTTTTTCTATTAACTCAAATCTTCTCCAAACACCAAATGGGGGGAAAAACAGTATAAAATAAATGAAAATTCACTGGATTCTATAGAGGCAAGATTGAGCACATCCATTCATCCAACAGTAATCCCATCTACATCAAATATGTGGTTTCTTTACAGAGTTTTGCCAACTTCCTATACAAATCTCATGAGCACTTCTTATGTTTGCCAGTTTTTATTTATGCAATTAAATTGGCTTTTTGTAAGAGCTGGGCTGGAGAAACAACACATTTTTACAAGCCCATTAGTCATACAGTCAAGCTTCATTATATCGTAATCATTCATCAGTAGTCAGTAATGAGCATACCATTTCCTTGTGCAATGAGGATGTTAAAGAAAATGTGTCTTTACAACAGGGCATGAAATGTGTCAAATACAGAATACCCAACATTAATGGTAAAGGCCGTGAGTTCATCTGGTTACCATCATTGCTGAAGCGCACAACAGTTGAATGGACACAAACCTAGCCTTAGCTTAGAAGCCACATCCTTAATTATTAACACTTTCATGCTTCCACCCTTTCCAAACTCCACTCCCTTAAGAGGAGGACATTCATTTAGAAATAATTACTGTTATTCAAGATGCTCATGAGAGATCATTTTGACTTCAGTCGTTTTTCTAGTATATGTTTGCTGCAGTTTATTCTATAGATTTATCCCTATATCAAATGTATACACGTCCCTGAAAATTGTGTATGTCCAGGGACTTGTCCTAGTCCCTGGACTGTGGGAAGTCATGATGTTGTGGAGGAGGGAGCTGAGAGCCTGAAGCTGGCAGACCCCGGGATCCTGCAGGCTCCCTGCAGGGCTCCCGCCCTTCCACAGAGGCACCCATTGAGGTTGCCCATATGCTCATTCTGCGCCCATCAATGGGAGTAACTGAGCTTGGAGAGGAAAAACAACAGCCTCAACAAAACACAAGGTGTGCAGCTCTGATAATGCAGGGATGAATTATGGAGACACCGTCGGGGCTGGCTGGAAAGGGGAAAGCGTTCCATCTCGGGATTTTCACGGTAAATTTCTGGAACCAAGGGGGCCTCTGAGATATCCACCAGAACCTCTCCTTTCCACGAGGCAGCTTCAGATAGGGCCCTTCCCTGCTCATTCTCCACAAAAATCGGGGTTCCCCGGATCCCAACAGTGAGCGCTGTTCTCTTAGGCTGCTGTTTCCCCAACCGCTGCTGAGGCGCAGCTGGAGTGAGCCCCTCCGAGCCCCGCTTCGCGCAGCTGCAGGGGGAGCCCAGAGGAGCCCAGAGCTCAGAGAAAAGCAATGCGCTCCGCAGGACCCAACCCTCCCCATGGCCACCAAGAGGGCCCGCAGCTCCTCGGGCACCGGCAGCTGAACCCAGGTAGGGGCGTCCCAACCGCAGAGCCCGATGCCAGAGGGCACCGGGGGAGGAGAGGGGAGAGAAGGCGCCGCACCTCGCTCCTGGCACTTGGTTCTTCCCGGGAGTCAGGGCCACGGGCGCCCCGGGGCTGGAGCCCGGGAGAATTCCTGCGCAGGCACAGAAGGGCAAGAGAGGTCCCTGACCCTCCCCGCCCCGCTCCAGGTACCTCGCAGCCGTAGAGCTGACCCAGCTGCTCCACGATCCACTCCTCCAGCACCAGCCGCTTCCGAAGCTCTTTACGGTCGTATTTCACTGTCACTTTTCCCTGCTGGTGGCGCCGCTGCTGCTGCTGCTGAACCTGCCCGGCAGCGGCTGTCGTGGCCACGGGCGCCGAGTCCTCCCGGGAGGATCCCGAGCCGCTGCTGGAGCCGGGGCTGCCACCTGCGCCGCCCCGGGGGCTCTGGAAGAAAACCCGCGCGCCGCCGCCGCCGCCGGCCCCGCCGGCCGCCTCGCTGCTGCCCGTCGCCACCGACATGTCCCCGCGCGCCCGAGCCCGAGTGAGGCCCGGAGGAGGGGCGGGCAGAGCGCGCCCGGCGCCGCTACCACCTCCGACCCGGCAGCCGCATGCGAAGGGCTCCCCAGCACCTGCTCCGCGCCGCGCGCGCCCGGCCGCCAGGCTGTTCTGGGAGGGCGGGAGGAGCCGCGGCGGGAGGGAGGAGGGCGGGGAGGATGGCGGGGCGGGGACCGCAGCCTTAAAGACGCCGCCGAGGACCCTCCGGGTCCAGCCCCCGGAGGCGGGATCTGGCGCCTGTGGCAGAGGGCTCGGGGCGTGGGAGTCGCGGCGGGGCGGGGAATGTGTGCGCCAAAACACGGGCGGTCGCTGGTGTGCAGACTCCGGAGAGACGGGCGTGGGGCGGGATGCCAGGGGATGCTCCTCTGCGCGGGTGTCCGTGGCCTCTCGTCTCGGAGACAGGGACTCGCGGGTCTCCCACAGTCCCCGAGCTCAGGAAACGCGCCGCGCAGCCCCAGGCAGGACCCGCCGCGAAGGGGACGCTGGAAAGGACCGCGCCGCAGGCTCCCGGCCGAGGTTTTCCTCGCCCCACTGTCTACTCGGGTGGCTGGGTAGTGTCTCCTCCCCTCCCAGCCCCGCCCCGCGGCTCCAAACACACATTCCTATTCATGCCACGATGGATGCCACTTCCTCCCTGGATTGTGAGAAACATCGACTAGGCGATGTTTGTGCAATAAGCGAGTCACAGCTCTTGAGAAATTATTTCCAGACCAGTGTTTCTTCCCTTACTAAGCATCTGCTTAATCATAGGCAGCGCACTCGGATATCTTCATATCCAGAGGGCAGAAAGCCCGCTCAAGCAAGGCGGCTGGGGCATCCAGACAGTAAACATTTCTCTAAAAGGGTCGGCGACAGGGTCCTGGTTTCACATATCTGGTGTTGCGTTCCCTGCACTGCCAGCTTTCTCTCAATGCCATTCCAAACAACCCCTTCCACCCAGGAGTGCAACAGCACTGCCTGACTCTACTGTAAAACATCATAGCCGGGTAGTTAGTTACACACGAAGGAGCTGATCAGAAGGGTTAGGGCAACAAGGTGAGGAGGGAAGTTGTAAACAGAAGGCTGCCTGTGTAACATTAGGGAGACAGTAACATAGTCTTCTTGTACATAACAACACATTCCTGTTCAGCAACTGACAGAAACTACAGAGACGTCCAAATACAAGGAAGCAGCTCTTATGAACGGTTTTTTATAAAAGAGCCATAAAGGTTACTGGTAGCTACTCAAAGAAGTTCCTCAGAGACAAAATAGATACAAAGTCAATTTCCTTGAAACACTTTCCTATGATGAAGATCCTGTGTGGGGTTCTAGACTGACACATATAAAGACAGAAAATAAAAGACCAGCCAGTTTCTCCTGAGGCGTCAGGTTCTGCCATCCACCAGTGCCCAGCTCTGCTCTACCCAGGCTTAGGAACGCCTTTGTTCCCTCAGTCTGGGGTTTTCCCGTGAAAGCCTCGATAGGGATTTTCCCAAAGTGTTCCACGCCTGCGGCTCTTCATAGGGACATGTCAGGCCTCACAATGTGAAAGGGAAGGATTTGTGTTGTCGAAATAGAGAGACTGGTGTAGGCCCTGGACTCCTGCCGTAATTGCAAGGGGGGTCAAGGCTAGACTATCTCTGCCTGCTAGAGGAGGCCAGCTGTCCTTCAGAAGGTAGGTTTTTCACCAAGCTTATCAGGGACAAGAGAGACAGAATTACCTTCATTGCACCTAAAGACCGATAACCAGTCTGTGCACCACCTCTGCCCTTAGGGTGGGTCATTGCAAACCCCGAACACACAGTCAAGAGGGTGAATGCCTCAATGAAATGGGACGCTGTCTGCAAAGAGGAAGGGAAGGGAGCGTGGCAACCAGCCCCAGCATCTCCTACACAGAATCAGCTTGTGTGGCCTCAGATATCTGGCCAAGTCCGCTAGCACCAGCTTTGACCAACTGCACTAACCAGGGGAATGCAAATCAAAACGAAAACAGCTTAAATGTTATTAACAAAGGAGAAACTACATAAAATCTCTACCTCATTCTGGCCCTGGGACCTGACAATCCTATTGTTTCGAAAATCGTGCCTGCGATCCTGCAGTTTGGCAAAGACTGGGGAATTCCAACTTCTTCCTTTGAATCTTTGGACCATGAAATCAGTCATTCAAGGATAACATCAAAGAATTTACAAAAATTCACTAAGTTCTTTCTGAGAAATTCTGATGTCAATTTTTTTCTCACTGCATAAGATGCTTTCTTTTTTTTTTTTTTTTTTTGAGAAAAGAATTGAGATTTTACTCTCACTGGGATTGTATGGAGGTTTGATGTACAAATTTTCTGATTATGAATTCTTTGGGATGGAACGAGCATTTCCTTATTTGAAGATAATGTTAGAGTTTAAATGTTTGTATTGATTATATTTACCTTAATATGAAATAGGGCAGCTTTTCTCATCATAAGTTCAAATAATTAGGCAGTTGATAGTGAAAATGAGGCTGCTATTGTACAATCTTGGAGTGCTTTCTATTAAGAACAATATTGTAAGGAATGTTCTTTGATTTTTGACTTTTCTGTGGTATACTTTTTCGGTAGTGTACTTTGAAGAAATGAGGATAGTGGCTAGATGAGTTCAAATATAGATTAAGAAAGAAAGAGCTTTTGTTGTTTCATCTCCAATCATGACATTTTGTGAGGATGTTTATCTAATGTAAAGTGCTAACTCCAGTGAAGATGGTAATTAGTTAACAAAAATTAAAAGAAATGGCAAGCATTTTAACTTAAAAATGCTTACATTTTTGGAAAGTAAAGTGAATCATCTTCTACTTTGCAATTTTTGGGTTCTGTTAGCATCACTGTTACAGATGCAAGTTTTTTTGAAGACAGGTAGCCTGCGCCTTTCATGTGATTGACAGTGTCTTGTATACTCCTTACCCCCCACAAAAAAATCACAGTCTTTTGAGGATGAAGGCAGAGGGGAGGAATGGCTTGTCAAGCAACTAATAGTATTTGAACATAACATTTTCATCTTTAAATTACAATGTTTGTGCAAGATTTTTTAACTGGTTCTTCTTTATATCCACGAATTCTTTTACATTTCTTCTTGAAGCACTTGGTTTGTTCTGTTATCCTTTTATCTCTTTGTGGATCTTTTACATGCTTATTTTATTTTATTTATTTATTTATTTTTTAGAGGAAGAAAGAAAGAAAGAAAAAGAATTAAAAAAAAGAAAAAGAAAAAAAAAAGAATAGGAAAGGAAGAAAGAGGAAGAGGAAGAGGGAGAGAGAACAGGGATGTTGCTTTATTGCCCAGGCTAGAATGCAGTCTAAAAATGGGTATGCCTGTAATTGTGTTTAATAATAGAGACATAAAAAAATGAGAGAAGAAAATAATTAACAAGCAGCCAACCAATATTTCATTTAAACCTGTAAATACCTGTGATGTAGTACTGATAAGAATGTATATTTTGTGTATTTAAAGTGGAGAGTTCTATGAATATTAATTAAGTCTACTTGTTCCGGATCTGAGTTCGAGTCCTGAATATCGATGTTAACTTTCTGTCTCATTGATCTGCCTAATATTGATGTTGACGTCTCCCACTATTATTGTGTGGGAGTCCAAGTCTCTTTATAAGTCTTATATATCTGGGTATTTCTGTATTGGGTCATATATATTTAGGATCTTTAGCTCTTCTTGTTACATTGATCCTTTTATCTTTATGTAATATCATTCTTTGCTTCTTTTGATCTTTGTTGCTTTGAAGTCTATTTTATCAGCAAAAATTGCAACTCCTGCTTTCTATTTATTTATTTTTGCTCTCCATTTGGTTGGTAAATTTTTCTCCATCCCTGTGTTTTGAGTCTTTGTGTATCCTTGCATGTGAGATGGGTCTGGATGTAGCATACCGATGGGTCTTGGCTTTTTGTTGCCTGTCTGCGTCTTTGGATTGGGGGATTTAGTCGATTTAAATTTAGAATTAATAACAATATATGTGAGTTTGATACTGCCATTTAATGTTAGCTGGCTGTTTTGCCCATTAGTTGATGCAATTTCTTAATTATGTTGATGTTCTTTATTTTTTGGTTTTTTTTCAGAAAGGCTGATACTGGTTGTTCCTTTCTATTTGTAGTGGTTCTTTCAGAAGCTCTTATAAAGCAGGCCTGGTGGTGATGAAATCTCTGAGTGCTTGCATGTTCACAAAAGATTTTATTTTTCCTTCGCTTATGAAGCTTAGTTTGGCTGGATGTAAAATTCTGGATTGAAAGTTCTTTTCTTTAAGGATGTTGAATATTGGCCCCCACTCTCTTCTGGCTTGTAGGGTTTCTGCTGAGAGATCTGCTGTGAGTCTGATAGGCTTCCCTTTATGGGTAACCTGACCTTTCTCTCTGGCTGCCCTCAGTATGTTCTCCTTCGTTTCAACCCTGGTGAATCTGGTGATTATGTGCCTTGAGGTTGGTCTTCTTGAGGAATAACTTTGTGGTGTCCTCTGTATTACCTGGAGTTGAATATTGTCCTGCGTTGCTAGGTTGGGAAAGTTTTCCTGAATAATATCCTGAAGCGTATTTTCCAGCTTGGATTGATTCTCTTCATCACATTCAGGTACACCTATCAAATGTAGATTAGGTCTTTTCACATAGTCCCATATTTCTTGGAGACTTTGCTCGTTCTTTTTTATGCTTTCTTCTTTATGCCTAAAACTCTGTTTTCCCTTACAATTTCAAAAATGACAGATACCAAAAGACATAGGTTTTAGGCATCTTAACTTACAGAGTATCCAGGACAGTCTCTTCCACAGGTATGCTGGCCTTCAGATATTCAAGTGAGTCACCCTGACTGGCAAATAGAGTTGAACCAGGGTCCCACTTGCTCTACCCAATACATAATTTATATTCAAAGTGAACTCCATATCATCTTCTCTACCCCCCAACACACACACACACACACACACACACACACACACACACACACTTCATTCCAGGTTTGAATAATTAAAAATGTTCTCTTTTGGACAGCTAGAAATACTGGTTTTGCAAATTTCAAATATTGAAACCAAAATATATAGGAATAAAAAAAATTTCATAGTCCAGAGACCCTTTACATAGCTATCTAAATTCAGCAAAACCAGTGATACTTCTCATCTACAAGACCAATATATACATTTGTTCAAGGAAAACACTTTCATTACTAGCCTATTTAGACAAGTGTTTTTAGATGCTGGTTAATTTAAGACAATAAATAGTTTTCAGTGAATAGAATGGTCTGGGATGCACTTTCACCTAAAGGCAATTACTCCCTGCTGTGAGAGAGCAACCTAAGGCTGTTTCATTTGTCAGTATCTTCTTCTTTTACTTGCTTCCTGATTTGGACAAAGTTTTTTGTTTGTTTATTTGTTTGTGTAGGAATTATATAGGTCCTTTATCTCTGAATCTGATCTTTATGCCCAAAGGTTGTTAGACACCATGGTGACTTAATCAGGGGCCCCAGAACTTTTGTCGCCCCCCCAGGAAAATAATTAAATACACGTTTATACTCAGATGCAAATTTCCTTACTTCTTAAAGACTAAATGTCACAATAATTATGCAACACCTGATAATCTACCTTGACAA